GTCTTGCGCCATCAAGACCCGCTTCCATCTCTTCTAAAATGCAGGTCGATTCTTACCTTGGAGGAGCGAACCATGAGTCGAAATCGACCTACCCAACCTCTCCATATGAATCATGCATCGTCACCTCAAGCTCTTCATGCTGTAAACCCCAGCCCCTCAAACTCACGCAACATGTCCTTTTCTCAAAACAACTGAGGTGGTCGTCGCTCTTCACAACCACGTCGCGGTGGCTCCCACTCAACTGATAATCGCCACCCATCCAGAACCACCACCACAATACCATCGTTGCCATCGGGTTTTCCATGGACTCCATACCCGGTTCCGTGGAATCTCTTCACCTGGTCATATCCTTCCTGGCAACAACTCACTCGACCACCGACTTCTACTACTTACCAACCGATGAGAAACCAGCAGCCCGGAGTCCTCGGTATTGCTCCAAACTCGGGTCTACCGACTCAACAGCCCCCTGTAGCAGCCTTCTTTGCTGCCCCTCCACATCAGAATCTTGTTCCTCCAGCTCAATGGGTTCCCCCGCTGACCCCGGATGAGCCTACAGATATCACACAAGCCTTGAACTCGATGCACATAATTGATGGCTTGGATACTCAGTGGTACATGGACACATGAGCTACCACTCATCTTGCCTCGGACACAGGTAAACTCACTAATTTTGGCAAAAACTGTCATATAAATCACGTTCTTGTTGGCAATGGTTCTTCCATACCTGTTCATCAATTTGGCCATACCCGATTAAAATCCTTGCATCGTCCCTTGCACCTTCGTAATGTATTAGTCACACCTAATATTATCAAAAACCTCATATTTGTTCGTCGTTTTACAACTGATAATCTTGTTTTTATTGAATTTGATCCGTGTGGTTTTTCTATGAAGGATCTCAAAACTCGTTAGCTTCTGCTTAGGTGTGACAGCTCCGGTGACCTTTACCCAATCATTCCCTCTACACAAGTTGCTCTTCTTTCCGGTTCTACTTCCTTGTGGCATCAACGTCTCGGTCACCCTGGAGCTCATGCTTTTAATCATTTAGTTTCCAATAAATTAATTACATGTAATAGAAGTTCTAGTACTGTTTCTTGCCAAGCTTGTCAACTTGGCAAATCTAGCCGTTTACCTTTTGAAAGTACAAACACTATTGTTTCTGGCTTATTTGATATTGTTCATTATGATTTATGGCAATCTCCTGTTGAAAGTATCAGTGGTATAAATTATTATATTTTCTTTCTTGATCACTTTTCCCACTTTGTCTGGGTATATCCTCTCAGAAAGAAATCAGAAGTTTTCTCAAAATTCTTACACTTTCGTGCGTTTGTCAAAAACCAGTTCAAAACGGACATTAAAAGTTTCCAATGTGATCATGGGGGTGAATTTGACAATCATCTTTTTCATAATTTATTCAATGAAAATGGCATCACATTCCGTTTCTCGTGCCCTCGAACTTCCCAACAAAATGGAAAGTCCGAACGTATGATACGTACAATCAACAATATCATACGAACTCTTCTTCTTCACGCCCACCTCCCACCTGATTTTTGGGTTGAAGCTCTTCACATGATGGGTCATCTCCTAAATCTCACACCATCCACTTCCATACAAAACGACATCCCATACACAAAACTCTTTCGGAAATCCCCATCTTATTCTCACCTTCGAGTCTTCGGGTGCCTATGTTATCCTCTCATTCCTACTCCGTACAAACTCGCCCCTCGTTCTATCCCTTGTATCTTCATTGGCTACCCGTCTCATCACCGTGGCTATCGTTGTTTTGATCTCGCCACTCGAAAAATCATTATCTCCCGTCATGTCACCTTTGATGAAGACTCTTTTCCTTTTCGCTCCATGACACCAAATCACCCCCCTCCTACTCATTTCTCGACCACAATGAACCATCATTCATTTCTCGTGAGTTTCTCACCTCTCAACACTCTCAACCTTCACACTACCACCGAATCACCCCTACCTCGATCTCACCTTCAAGCGCTTCAAGATCCAAATTGGACCATTGCCATGAAGGACGAGTTTAATGCTCTTATTGCCAACAAAACGTGGGTTCTTGTCCCGCGGCCTACTAGGGAAAATGTTGTTCACTCGATGTGGTTAGTTCGTAAAAATATAAAGCGGATGGTTCTCTTGAGCGTTATAAAGCTCGGTTAGTTGCAAACGGAAAAAGCCAACAACCGGGCATTGATTGTGCTGAGACATTAAGCCCAGTTGTGAAACCTGCTACTATACGCACAGTCCTTAGTCTTGCGATTTCACGCAAGTGGCATATTCATCAGTTAGATGTAAAAAATGCTTTCTTACACGACCATCTCAATGAGACAGTTTACATGCATCAACCTCCAGGGTTCCGAGATTCAAATAATCCAGATTATGTCTGTCTTTTACAGAAGTCCATTTACGGATTGAAACAAGCCCCACGGGCATGGTTTCAACGGTTTGCAACGTTTATTAGTCAAATTGGATTTACTCACAGCCGTTGCGACTCTTCTTTATTTATCTTTCGCAGGGAAACACAAGCTACTTATTTATTATTGTACGTTGATGATATTATTCTCACAACTTCCTCTGCAACACTTCTTCAGCAGACTATGTCTTTATTGGCCACTGAATTTGACATGAAGGACCTGGGCGATCTTTCCTATTTTTTAGGTGTTGCAGCTACACGCAATGATCATGGCTTATTCCTATCACAACACAAGTATGCGCAGGAGCTTCTTGATCGCGCCAACATGTCCAACTGCAATCCCTGCCGAACTCCAGCTGACACGCAGTCCAAACTTAATTGCATTGGTGATCCTGTTTCAGACCCTACTTTATATCGAAGTCTGGCTGGCGGTTTACAGTACCTCACATTCACCCGCCCAGACTTATCCTATGCGGTACAACATATATGTCTATTTATGCATGACCCTCGAGAACCGCACATGAAAGCTTTAAAACGCATTCTCCGATATGTTCGCGGTACTCTTGACTATGGACTACAGCTTCGACCCTCCTCAACCACCGGTCTCATTGCCTACTCTGATGCAGATTGGGGGGATGTCCATCCACTCGTCGGTCAACCAGTGGATATTGTGTGTTTCTCGGTGACAATCTTTTATCATGGTCATCAAAACGGCAACCGATTGTGTCACGTTCTAGTGCTGAAGCAGAATACCGAGGTGTTGCCAATGCTGTCGCGGAAACCTGTTGGCTACGCAATCTTTTACGTGAGCTACACTCTCCAGTTACTAAAGCAACTATTGTCTATTGTGATAACATTAGTGTAGTCTACATGTCTTGTAATCCGGTCCAGCATCAACGCACCAAACAGATAGAAATTGATCTTCATTTTGTGCGTGACAAAGTTGCTACTGGATCTATTCGAGTTCTTCATGTACCATCCAGCCTTCAGCATGCTGACATCTTCACCAAAGGTCTACCATCTACTCTGTTTACTGAGTTCAGATCCAGTTTGAGTGTCCGTGCTCAACCTCCCGCTCAAACTGCGGGGGTGTATTAGCGTAGCATGTATGTATGTATATTACCTTAGGCCCAAGTATTGTATTTGTATTTTAACCTAGTCCATTGTATTGTAGCCCACTATGAATTATTCAGATTATATTAATGAAATCATAGACCAAAAGGCGATTGAGGGAAAATAACGTTGTTTCAATGTCGCAGGAGCTTACGTCCGCCAAAAAAGCCGTCGGAGGTGGAATTGAAATCCCAAAATAAGTTTTACCTGCTTTAAACAAAAAAACAAGTTTAAGGGTTAAAAATGCACCAAAAAAAGTTAAGTGACCAAATGTGTAGAAAGAGTATCCCTTTATTCGTCCCAACAAAATATATGATCTTAATTACAGATTCAAACATAATACTCCTAAAATTTTGCATAAAGTTTTTGAGCTCCAAAATTTTCTATGATAATATTTTATAAGTTAAATGTATTCATCAAATTCACCTATAAAAAAATACGTAATACCTTGCATTTGAAAATAACAAAATATTTTTCTAGTAATATATTGAAGAGTGGATCATTAAATTTCTGTGTGCAATTGGAAGCATGATGAGGTTAGTAAACCGGTTGCAGGATTCACAACTGCTTGTTCCATTATTCTCTTTTTTTAATTGGTCACATAATTTTACATTTAAGGCCCCTTCTCTTTGCCGTAGACATTAATTTTCCATTGTATTATCCAAAATGTAGACCAGATTATACTACTTTGACTTATACACACTCACAGGATCTTTACATGCATCTTATTCAGTTTTACCTGAAAATGCAGAGTTTAAAAACCCAGTTTCACATAATAGTCGTCCATTGTACATTCTGTATATGGTGTTCGTGAATGTGGATGGAGGTTTTCATATACAAGCATGTGTGAGAAAACTAGTAGAAGCTAGATACCATGCCTATGCCCACGTAAGTTGTTTTTTTTTTGGAGTTATATTTCAATGGATACTTGTAATTTAATTCAAATAATTGTTTAGAAAAAAATGGAAACATGAAAAGCCACAAAGATAGGATAAGTCGAAACATTTTTTTATGGAAAGTAAAGAATGAAATCCTTATATATGATCAGATCTAATTTCATCATTCTGACTCAGCTGATAACTCTTTATATTTAATTTACTAGGTTAAAAACCCGTGTACCACACGGGTAAACAATTTAAGATAACAAAAAATAAAGGTATAAATATATGCTATAAGTAATAAAACAATGATTTTGAATTTTCAACATTATTTAGAAAGAAAATGCGAGTTAGATATAATAACCTGAAATGGCAAAGACTCTTCAACTCAATAATGGTTTTGCTAAACTAAATAAAGAAAATAATAATACTTTGTGTCCGTTGGAGGTTAATATTAAACCTTTGATTGGGTGTTCATATTTATATTTCAACATAACAAGTTACAAAAACTAATGATATCACAAATTGGATTTTCAATCGCTATCTGTAGAATGAAGTCTTCAAATAACATAAACAAATCATAGTAATAACAATGTATTTTCATACATTGAACTTTGCAAAATATACCTAATTATAGTATTGTCGGATACAAAGCAATTTTCGTTGTTATAGATGGAACAGTTTTATAAGTACAATGTTCTAATAAGAAAAAAATTATAATTCAAGTAGATAAAAACCTTTGCCCTAGATTTCAGAGAGAAGGACAACACCATGCTCCATGTTTCAACTTCTTGACCTCACTATCTCATCATCTAGCATTCTACAAATCATATAATTGTTCTTGCCATTGGAGTATTGTCCTCGGGAAATGATGGGCACCCTATCAATCAAAAGTTCTTCAAACCTCTTCTTCCTATGTTTTCCCACCTCAAATGTCATATCAAAATTAATTTAAGAAAATAATGACCATAACCAAACTGATACATGTTAAGCGTTACAGGAAAAAGAAACAAAAAAAAAAACCGCTGGCAGCAGAGAACATGCCTAACACTTTAATGTCAAGGTGATCATACAATCAACTGAAATAGAGTAGCAAAACCAAAAAATTTCAAAACACCCATACTTTTCTCTTTGGTTTGTAATTTTTTTCAATCTATAATACCGAAAAAATACAAATTAAATCATAACAAGTTGTTGCTACAACTGAAAACTAAAATAATATTGTACTTATGTTTCTTTGACAATATTAGCAACCTATTAAAGTACAATGCTATAATCTAAGAAAACCTCATATAAATGCTTTAACACAAAGACAACACAGCCACACTAACACACAAATGGTCTCTGTTAAAAAATCACAAATGATAAGTTTTTAAAAGAAAGTATCATAAATAGTCCTTGTTTAAATATATTTATAGAAATAGTCCATGTTAAACAAAATTCACAAAAATGGTCCTTATTCAACTAAATATTTAGAAATGGTCCATGTTAAAATAAAGTTATAAAAACGGTCCATGTTTAACCAAATATTCAGAAATGGTTCATGTTTAACTAAATTTACAAAACCAGTCAATGTTTAACTAAATAACAAAAGGCTTGGAAGTATAATGGTAAAATGGGACATTTTTCAAAGTAGATTACTTAAATAGATAGAGTTTCAATGTACAATGTTGAAATGGACTATTTTCAAAGTGCAATGCTTAAAAGATACGTGTTTAAAAAAAATACCAGAAATGGTCCATTAAAGAAGTTGAAAGTACAATGATGTTATACAAATAAATGAAAGTAGGATGCTATAATACACGAATCAACAAAAGTACATTGTTATTTATTGTATCACATGGGTGATTTCTAAAATTTCACAATTACATAGGGGTGGTTTAGTAATTCTGTCTTTCTCATTCAAAATATAAGGACACATGGGCTTTTTGTAATTTACTATTATGCAAGGAACATTTTTATATTACTTTTCTATTCTAGCATTTGGTAGGGAGGGTTAGGAACCTATTGTAATTATTTACAAACTATGAAAAAAATATATATAACTCACCATAAATTTCAAAAACAATACCCTTTCTATAAAGTATAAACCCTCTCTTTAAGTAGAATAACATGTAGACCTTCTGCTCAAAAACCTTCATTTCACTCACTTGAATTGCCTGTTCACACAAAATAAAATAATTGATCAATCTTTATATCAAAATTTCTAAATGGGACCCACAAATCACTATATATAAGTTCTACCTGATTACTTCAAAAAAGTAGTAATAGTGGCCAAAATGTGAGCTCTGTCCAACATGAACCAAAACACCATAAAGAGTGCATGTAGTCAGAAAGTCAGATGTCTTCATGACTCATATGTGACCAGAAACTATGAATCTAAGATTAAAAGTATGAAAAAAAAAGATTAAATACCCAAATCCAATCGTATTAGATGTGCAATCAAAAGAAATATAGTGTAGATCAGATTAATAGTCTTCACAATTTGCGAGTTTACAACCAAAAATGAATAAAAATAAAAATCATATTACAGAACCTGAATATGAAGATAAGTAAATTAGATTTGGGTTTTCCAACATCTTTAATTTTTTTTATAATGATGGGATTAAAAAAGCTAAAAAGGTTGAAGAAGCTAATTACTTGGATTATTTAGCATCAAGAGAATTCCTCGGAAAAAAAAAGTAGAAGTAGAAAAATATAATCAGATTTAAAGAAAATGGGGGATCTGGAAAATGTGAGGGCCTGTTTAACAAATCATGAAAAGTTGAAGGCTTCTAATTAAGGTAAACATGTCTTACAAGGTCTTAAGTACAATCACCAATCTCCGGTGAGATTTTACTAAAACATTTCTCACCCCGATTAATGTTCAAATATGAAACAAAAACAAATTATAAATAACTTTTGAACAAAATTATTGGTCATTCCCTAAACAAAGCCAATCAGTTCCCAATAGCATCAATCATAAAGTAACAGCCCAAAAAATGACAACGAAACTTTGTAAGTTGATGAAAAAAACCACCATATCAAACACACAAGACATACCCAAATTCTGATTTCATTAATACTCACATGTCACAACAGATTGCAACACATAAATGGTAAATCTGATGACCGCTCAACTTTAATTTCAAATAAAAAACCCATAATTTGTTGCTTTAGATCAGACCCTGAGATCCTATATTCAACTAATAGAACAACACATAGAAAAAAATAGAAATATAAGATTAGGTGAATTGGAATTCATTGTCATGTTTGAAATGTATAAACAATTATGCATTATAAATCACAATATAATCTAAAAATTATCAACAAAAATCGAAATTACATGGATTATAGTTCATTGGGGGAAAGAAATGAAAATCAGGAACAAAAAAAAAACAAACTACAAAACTTTAGTTAGGTTACCAATCAGGGGATTTGAGAAAATGAAAGTTGAGATGTCGATCGAGATTGGTAAGATAATCAGAGGAGTACCGACATTGGCTGATGGAGAGATTGTTTGAAGAGTACCAGAGGTGGCTTTATGGAGATGACGAAGGTGGTGGTAAGCAGCGGCGTTGGTGGTGACAGTGGGTTTCTTTAGAGAAAGGGGGAGAGAAACCCGATTTCAATGTTTGAATGCATAATAGATTCTGATATCAATTTTAGGATGGCACCAGATATGCGAGATTTAGGGAAAGAAGGTGATTCCTAAAATTAGGGAATATACTTTGTTAAAGATCATCACTAGCCCAATAGAACAAATATTAGCTAGAAGACTTTAGCTTGTTCTAGAACGCTCTAGAAGATTCTAGAACATTATGGAAGACTATGGAAGACTCCGGAATATACCGGAAGAGTCTAGAATACTCTAGAACGACATGGAAGACCCTGGAAGGTTATGGATCATTCTAGAAGACACTGGAGCAACCTAGACCTCTCCAGAACATGGTAGAATATTCTAGAAACATATGGAAGCATATAGAGTATGTTAGATATTTCTAGAGTTATCTAGTAGGTAGTAAGTGTATACTAGTATCTAGAACCTTCCTAAGAGGCCTATAAATAGGTGTGGAGCTCATTTGCTCCAAACCATCCAAGAAAGCCTCAAAGAGAGCAAAGTGTGTAGTAGTCTCACAAAGTGTAAGGTCTTCTTAAGTGTCTTAATAAAAGTCTTTTTGTTTCCCATACAAAGAGTCGTGTTCAACAATCTGGTATCAGAGAAAGGTTTCTTGATAGTGAGAACGAGTGATTCTCGTTGTATCGTGAGTAGTTTGTGACTCTGCAAGTTTAGTGTCGAAACTAGCTTGTTTGGTATTACCGAGGTACTGCCAACACGATGGGTGATCTCCAAGTCGTCGGAGGAATCAAGAAACTCAACAACAACAACTACAAAACATGGGAAACATGTATGAAGTCCTACTTACAAGGACAAGATCTATGGGAGGTCGTTGGCGGAAGCGAAACCACGCCTCCGGAGGAAGATGTTAATGGCGCTCTACGCAAATGGAAAATCAAAGCAGGCAAAGCAATGTTTGCCTTGAAGACCACAATCGAAGAAGAGATGTTGGAGCATATTCGGGACGAGAACACACCGAAAGAAGCTTGGGACACGTTTGTGACGCTTTTCTCAAAGAAGAATGATACAAGACTACAACTTTTGGAGAACGAGCTATTATCAATCTCACAACGTGACATGACGATTGCTCAATATTTCCACAAGGTCAAGTCGATATGTCGGGAGATTACTGAACTAGATCCGCAATCCGTCATTACAGAAGCTCGAATGAAGAGGATCATCATCCATGGACTGAGGCCGGAATATAGAAGCTTCGTTACTGCTGTACAAGGATGGCCCGTTCAACCATCACTTGTAGAGTTTGAGAATTTGTTGGCCAGCCAAGAAGCTATGGCTAAGCAAATGGGAGGCATCACGCTGAAGAGTGAAGAAGAAGCACTCTACACAAGTAAAAGTCGGAGGAATTTCAAGCCACCTTCTAAAGAAGGATACAAAAATGCTGACAAAGGGAAGAGTCAGCCAGGAACCTCACAACCATGGAGATCTCAAAAGACCGACAATAAGAGTTCTCGGGGGAGGAGGTTCGAAGGCAACTGCAACAATTGTGGAAAGTGGGGCCACATGTCCAAAGATTGTTGGTCAAAGAAAAAGTCTGTGGAAAGCAATGTCGTAACTTCCAAAAAGGAAATAGAGGATGAATGGGATGCTGAGGCATTATGCGCCATAGAAGAAAACGAGTTGGCGCTCATGGCAATGATGGGAGAGCGTATCAACTATGAGAATGACTGGATCATTGATTCAGGATGCTCCAATCACATGACTGGTGATCAGAACAAACTACAAGACGTGAAGGAGTACAAAGGGAGTCGCATGGTACTTACAGCCAACAATGCACGACTTCCAATTGCTCAGATTGGCAAAACAACGATCATGCCTGGTAATAAATCTGACATGGTGTCACTACATAATGTCTATCACGTGCCAGGTATGAAGAAGAACTTGTTATCGGTATCGCAACTAACATCATCAGGAAACTACGTCTTGTTTGGCCCACAAGATGTGAAGGTCTATCGAGATCTTAAAATATCAGAAAAGCCAACAATGGAAGGACGGAGAGTGGAGTCCGTCTATGTTCTCTCCGCAGAGTCTGCCTATGTAGATAAGACTCGTAAGAACGAGACAGCAGATCTATGGCATGCACGGCTGGGACATGTTGGTTATCACAAGTTGAAGGTAATAATGGAGAAATCCATGCTCAGTGGCTTACCTCAACTTGAAGTTAAAACAGATGTTGTTTGTGCTGGATGTCAGTATGGTAAAGCTCATCAATTACCATACAAGGAGTCAAATTTTAGAGCAAAGAAGCCACTAGAGTTAATTCACTCGGATGTGTTCGGTCCAGTCAAGCAGACATCAATTAGCGGGATGCGGTACATGGTGACATTCATTGATGATTATTCGAGATATGTGTGGGTTTTCTTCATGAAAGAAAAATCTGAAACATTCTCAAAGTTTCTAGAATTCAAGACAACGGTCGAAGGAGAAGTGAGAAAGAAGATTCGGTGTCTACGCTCAGACAATGGAGGAGAATACACCTCGGAAGAATTCAATAGCTATCTAAAAGAATGTGGTATACGTCATCAATTCACATGTGCCAACACACCTCAACAAAATGGTGTAGCTGAGAGAAAGAATCGACATCTTGCAGAAATTTGTCGAAGCATGCTACACGCGAAGAATGTCCCAGGAAGATTTTGGGCTGAAGCAATGCGAACTGCTGCCCATGTGATCAATAAACTTCCCCAACCAAGGTTAGGTTTCATCTCACCATTTGAGACACTATGGAACATGAAACCTACTGTTAGCTACTTTCGAGTATTTGGTTGTGTCTGCTACGTATTTGTACCTAGTCATTTACGTAGCAAGTTTGACAAGAAAGCAGTCAGGTGTATATTTGTTGGATATGACAATCAAAGAAAAGGATGGAGGTGTTGTGATCCAACAAGCGGAAGATGCTACACTTCAAGAGATGTAGTGTTCGATGAAGCATCTTCATGGTGGTCCTTAGAGAAGAAAGTATTACCAGACTCGGAAAATATTGAAGAAGTTTTAAAACAAAAGATGGGGGAGCAAACTGCACACATTTGGTCAAGTGTTGATACACCTGAAGATCCGAGCGACACTGATGTCATTGAGCAAGAAGTAACTCAAACAAGTAATGCCGGTGAAAGGGAGACGCCGCCTCCACAACTTCGAAGGACGGAAAGAATCCGAAAGCCTAATCCCAAGTATGCTAATGCGGCTATTTTAGAAGACGGTGTTAAAGAGCCGGAGACATATGAAGAAGCAATTAAGAATAAAGCTTGGCAGAAGGCAATGGAAGAAGAAGTTACAGCCTTAAAGCAGAATCAAACGTGGGAACTGGTACCAAGACCAAGAGATATAAAACCCATTTCCTGCAAGTGGGTTTATAAATTAAAGCGACGCACAGATGGATCAATTGAAAGATACAAGGCTCGTTTGGTGGCTCGAGGGTTCTCACAACAATATGGATTGGACTATGATGAAACATTTAGTCCAGTGGCGAAGATAACTACTGTACGGGTGCTGCTAGCTCTTGCAGCTAGTAAAGACTGGAAATTATGGCAGATGGATGTGAAGAATGCTTTCCTGCATGGAGAATTAGATCGGGAGATCTACATGAACCAACCAAAGGGATTTGAGGATGCAGTTAATCCCACTCATGTGTGCAAGCTGAGAAAAGCTCTTTACGGATTGAAGCAGGCACCAAGAGCCTGGTATGGTAAGATTGCTGAATTTCTTACCCGAAGTGGTTATTCAGTTGCACATGCAGACTCAAGCCTGTTCGTCAAAGAAAAAGAAGGGAAGTTGGCAATTGTGTTGGTTTATGTGGATGACTTGATCATCACCGGGGATGACGAAAGAGAAATCCATCAAACAAGAGAAAATCTATCGGTGCGATTCCAAATGAAAGAGCTGGGGGAGCTTAAACACTTCTTGGGGTTAGAAGTTGATCGTACAAAGGAAGGGTTGTTCCTCTGCCAACAAAAGTATACAAGAGATATACTTCAAAAGTTTGGCATGTTGGAGTGTAAGCCAGTATCAACACCAATAGAGCCAAATACCAAGATATGTGCTAATGAAGGAAAAGAGTTGGACGATGGAACGATGTATCGACAACTAGTAGGTAGTCTTATCTACCTAACTTTATCTCGGCCTGACATTGCTTATGCAGTTGGAGTTATGAGTCGATACATGCAAAATCCGAAGAAACCTCATTTGGATGCTGCCCGACGGATCTTAAGATATGTCAAAGGTACAATTGACTATGGTCTCTTGTATAAAAAAGGAGAAGACTGCAAGTTGGTTGGATATTGTGATGCTGACTATGCAGGAGACCATGATACCCGAAGATCAACCACTGGGTATGTGTTCAAGCTTGGGTCGGGGCCAATATCATGGTGTAGTAAAAGACAACCAACCGTATCATTGTCAACCACAGAAGCGGAGTACAAAGCAGCGGCCGTAGCAGCTCAAGAAAGTACATGGTTGGTACTCCTAATGGAGGACTTACATCAAAAAGTTGACTATGCGGTACCACTTCACTGCGATAACCAATCTGCAATTCGGCTGGCAGAAAATCCAGTATTTCATGCTAGAACAAAGCATGTGGAAGTGCATTATCACTTTATCAGAGAGAAAGTCTTGATGGAAGAAATTGAGATGCGACAGATCAAGACCGATGACCAAATAGCAGATTTGTTCACCAAAGGACTGAGTATTGGAAAATGTGAAGGTTTTCGTTGTCAGCTTAACATGGTACGAAGAATGAGGGCTAGTGCTGAGGGGGAGTGTTAAAGATCATCACTAGCCCAATAGAACAAATATTATCTAGAAGACTTTAGCTTGTTCTAGAACGCTCTAGAAGATTCTAGAACATTATGGAAGACTATGGAAGACTCCGGAATATACCGGAAGAGTCTAGAATACTCTAGAACGACATGGAAGACCCTGGAAGGTTATGGATCATTCTAGAAGACACTGGAGCAACCTAGACCTCTCCAGAACATGGTAGAATATTCTAGAAACATATGGAAGCATATAGAGTATGTTAGATATTTCTAGAGTTATCTAGTAGGTAGTAAGTGTATACTAGTATCTAGAACCTTCCTAAGAGGCCTATAAATAGGTGTGGAGCTCATTTGCTCCAAACCATCCAAGAAAGCCTCAAAGAGAGCAAAGTGTGTAGTAGTCTCACAAAGTGTAAGGTCTTCTTAAGTGTCTTAATAAAAGTCTTTTTGTTTCCCATACAAAGAGTCGTGTTCAACATACTTGAATGGTGATAATAATACACACACTTTGGTGAAGGAGATGGATGAACATGTATTTACAATGTGGGATTGAAGAATAAAGTAACAAAACGAAAATGAACAAAAATTGTTTGAATGATAGCAGCAACAGAAGGAGAATCGTAAACAGATGCAATGGCTAATTCATGAAACCTAAATAATTAGGTACAACTGAATCGAAAAACATACCAAATTAACACCAATCTTGCTAATTATCACGAGAATCCTGATAATTTGGGAGCTGATTTCCTACTATAGTTAAGAAAGCAGCCGAATTGAAGAGTACAGAAGAAATGGGCAAGGGTTATATAATAGGTGAAGGGCATTTGCGTAAATTCACATTAAAAGACTGAGCGGGAAAATAAGTCTTGGGGAGGCGGAACAATTGACACGTGTAAAAATCATTTTATTTATTAGATTAGGGGATTGGGTAGTAATGAGTGCACATCGTTTATTCTGGTTTTACTGGTTCCTCACCCAACATTTTTCCATTGATATTTCCTTTTAATATAGGGATTTTTTTAACATGTGCTCTAAGGACACACATAAAAAGCATTAATTGAACTATTAAATACTAATGAGACCCGTATGTTATACGGGTTTGATAAAACAAAAGATTAAATATGAAAGTTTAAACAAAAATTTATTTAAATTTGAAATTTTAGATTTGAAATTTAAAATTTATAATTTGAATTTAAAAGGAAACATATTAAATACTATATGAGTACTAATATTGTAATTTATTGGTTATTTTAAATTAAGACAATTATTAATTGATGTGTAAATATGATGTGTTAATTAAGAAAAGATAAAAAAAATGAGAAAATGACAAATGGAAAAAACATTTATTCATAAATACCAAAAAATGACATGTGTCCAAGTTAATGAGAGAGTGACACGTGACAAAATTATTTTCATTTATTAGGGATGATAGGAAATATTACCATAATTAAATATGAAATTAATTAATTATAGAAAATATTTTTCCTAATTAATGCATTTCACATTTAATTATGATTATATTTCCCATAATTAATAGTTATTATGTGTGCCCTTAGGGCACATATTAGAAAATCCCTTTAATTTATTGGGTAATAATGAGTTCCACATATTAGAAAATCCCTTTAATTTAAAAAGTCAACCAAAGGCCAAACGGAGTGGAGTCGTCAGATGAAGTCGCTAAGCTCGCTAAAGGCATCGGAACACCGCCCCTTAGCGCTCGCTAGGGGGTACGCTAGATGAAGCTACGGGCTTGACGGGAGGAGAGAGGGATGGATGCTTGCATGTGATTGGTTGCTTTACCAAATGATAGACATAATATCGATAGTAATTTCTTAACTAAAATTTTTAATTTTACCTGATCAAATCAAAAGGGTTTACAAAACCCTAACTACTAAAGCTTCGTTATCTATCTACAAAAATAGATTACTTCAAATAATGGAGCTCATTTAACGTTGGCGTTGGCCGGAAGAGATGGAGACGATGGTGGTTTCCCGATCGTGAAAATTACAGAGTTGAAAGAGTTCGAAAGGGGAGATTTGACAGGGATTTAATGGCGATGGGTATTTGGATCTTTTGGTTTTAAATCTGCGTGTTGTTCATATTTTAACTTATAGTTACAAAACTAGGCCCTAAGGTATTTAGTAATCTATATATGTGTTCTAATGACTTCAGTTTTTGCCATCCAAAAAAATGTGCCTTTAAATTAAAAAAAGTTATGTCATATTAATTAAGTCAAAAAAATATTTGTGTAATATTAAAAAAAGTAATTAAATTAAATTATAAAAAGAAAATAAAGAAAAAATGGAGTGCTAAGAATGTTACTATTTCCTACCAAATATCAAGATTAGATGTTAAATAGAGAAAAATAAGGTGACACTAAAAAAATTGAGGTGACAAAGTACTAAAAGTGTTACCACTTCCTTTTAAAAAAATGTACTATCTTTGAAAAATCAAAGAACCATTAAAATAGTAGAGAAAAAATCCTATGTCTACAAAAATATGGAATAATAAAACTCGGCTGAAAGCTGTGTATATAATTCTGTTGTTGGCTGTATTTCTTTTAAAAGGTCAACCAACCAATAACAGTGAAAAGATAAAAAAAACGAATGTCTAAACTTCATATATATATATATATATATATATATATATATATATATATATATATATTATATATATATATATATATATATATATATATATATCACATAATTAGTTTTCACAAAGAGAAAATTTCATTTTCTTTATATTCGTTTCATTGTTTCTGTCCAAAAAGCTCCTCGATACTTTTTATTAAATAAGATTTATTGATTAAGACGTGGCATGATCAATTTATTTGAAACCAACAACGCTTGCATTACTAAAATATCAAGTGGTGAGAAGTTTCTTGAGGTTTTCATAAAATGGAAATTGTTTGGAAACTGACATCCCTTTATATTTAGTTCATTTCATTTCATTAAGGTGTTCAAATCACATACATTCTATCTCAACACATCAATGGCATCTTCGTCATCATCAGCATCTCCTACTTAATTCTACAGCCTTGTCTTATCAACTGTGGAAGTACCGTGTTTTTCTTAGCTTTAGAAGAGAAGATACTCGCAATACTTTTGTGGGTCATCTCTACTCGGCTCTTGAAAACCAAGGGATCTACACTTACAAGGGCGACAAAACACTTCCTCGGGGTGAGTTGATCGGTCCATCCCTTAAGAAGGCTATTGAAGAATCACAGATGTCCATCATCGTATTCTCCGAAAACTATGCAGATTCTTCTTGGTGCTTAGAAGAACTTGCATATATTATGAAATGCAGGGAAACTAGAGGCCAAATCGTTATTCCCATATTTTATGGCGTGGAGCCCTCTGAATTGAGAAAACAAAAACATAAATATGGACAATCATTTGTCAAACATGAGGTGGAGAACAAGATTAATAAGGTTGAATCTTGGAGAAAAGCACTTGTGGATGCAAGTAACATTTCTGGATGGGATTCCAAGGACATTGCCAACAGGTAACTTTCTTCTTTGTTTTTACACTTTCTATGGTAATTAAAGATATGTGTTGACTACAAGACATCTATACTTGTACCTTATAAGCTTTTTATACAAGAAGAGTTTATTTGATCTAGGATTATGGATAAGCTCAACATAAGTTATGATGTACTTCATCAAGTTATAATTATTCTAAATCTCTTCTTAATGCCTCACCTCCGCTTACAACGACAAATCAATCCTGCGTTACTTATTGCTACTTAAAGCTAATTGATGTTTCCCCAAGAAATTAAGAAAAATGTATCCAACGACTTGTGATATTATCATATTAACTATACAAGTTCTAATTTGAATGTGAAACATAAAGGGTAATTAATTAGGACTCTTTTGTTAATAGTTTATGGAGCATGAAACAAATTACCACTTTTGTGAGCACACATTAATCATCCTTGTTTATCCAATGTGTAGGCATGAATCAGAGTTTATCAAAAAAATTGTCGGTAAAATTTCAAAGATGTTGCATCCACTAACTTCAAGGGTGAATGAAAACCTTGTTGGAATAGAGGTTTGCATGCAAGATCTGAAATCAAAGTTAACAATTGGGTCAAGTGGCGTGCTCATGGTTGGAATATGGGGTATTGGGGGTAGTGGCAAAACTACTCTTGCGTCTTCTTTTTATAAGATGATCTTTACAGAGTTTGATGGTTGCTGCTTTCTTGAAAATATTCGAGAGGAGTCAAGCAAATATGGTTTGAAAAGATTGCAAGAAGAAATGCTTTCGGGTATTTTGAAACGATTTGAAGGGCGAGGAGGGGGGGAGGGAGGGGGAAGGGGGGTTGAGGAAGGAAAAAGCATGATAAAGGATATGTTATGTCGTAGAAAGATCTTGATTGTTCTTGATGATGTCGATCAACTTGAACAACTACAAGCGTTGGCTGGCTCTCATGATTGGTTTGGTGCAGGAAGTCTAATAATAATCACAACTAGAGATGAACATTTATTAATGGCTCATAATATAGATGTAATGCACAATATTAGCTTGTTAACTGATGATGAGGCTATTCAGCTCTTTTGCATGCATGCACCTTGGAGTAACACCCCTATGGACGATTATGGGTTGCTTTCAAAAGAGGTGGTTCGGTATGCTAATGGGCTCCCATTAGCAATTAGAGTTCTAGGTTCTTTTCTATGTGACAAAGACATGAATGAGTGGAGGAGTGCTTTGGCTAGAATGAAAGAAATCCCACATGATAAGATTCTGGAAAAGCTAAAAATTAGCTATGATGGACTTAATTACATGGGTTGAGCAAAAGTTGTTCCCAGATATTGCATGTTTTTTTAGGTGGGTGAAGAAAGATAGGGCTATGGAGATGCTTGATGCTTGTGGTTTTCATCCTGTTATAGGAGTAAAGGTGTTGATGCAGAAGACCCTCATAACTATTTCGAATGGAATATTTGATATGCATGATCTGGTGCACGAAATGGCACACCACATTGTTAGAGGGGAACACCCTGAAAATCCTGAAAAACATAGTAGAGTTTGGAAGAAGGAAGATGTTCAAAATACATATGCTATGGATGCAATGAGGGTAAATGTTAAAACCAACTCTTCAATGTATGTATGTATGTATGTATGTATATGTGTGTGTGTAAAAAAACACTATTAAGTCAACCCTGACACCATTTTGTTCCTCCATCACAGGAACTTGACATGATTGAAGCAGTAAGATTTGAATACAGCTGGGATGATCCATTACAACGTCTTCCTTCGATTGTTGCAAACATGAAGAACCTTAGGTGGATTTATTGGAAAGGTGATCTCACGAGTCCATTGCCTACTAACTTCTCACCAAGGAAGCTTCGTTGTCTACTACTGCGTGAAAACTTTCAAAGACAACTTTGGGAGGGTATTAAGGTAATTCTTATTGTTTATCTAATTATCAGATGACAGCAATGTTTATGATGAATCATAGACCTGACTAGTATATATATAGAGAGAGTGAATTTTAAGTAGATATTATGTCACAGTTATTGGTGTCACCGAGCAACTTATATATAGTTATAATATTAAAAGATTGAAAAAGTTTATCACCATGGTACATTTTTGACTTGTATACAACAGTTTCTGCCAAATTTGAAGATCATGAAACTTTGGTTTTTGAAGAAGCTAGTCATGACACCAGATTTTAATGGACTTCCAAATCTTGAAAGATTTATTCTCGATGGATGTGAGTGTTTAGAAGAGATTCATCCATCGATTGGACGCTTGGAAAAGCTTGTTTTTCTATATATAGATTATTGTCTCAGTCTTAAGATGTTTCCAGTCATCACCCAACTAAAGAAGCTGAAGACCCTTTCATTCATAGACTGCCGTAAACTCTTTAAGCTCTCAGAGATCCAACAGAACATGGACAGATCACATTTGGATAATAAAAATATCTGGGCAAACTGCTTTGTTACTCTGCTGACATGTTGCAGCAATCTTCGTGGTAATATACCACAAGAGGACCTCATTAATGTAGAAGAAGGTGTTGGAACATTCTCTACACAAGATCAAACATGCACTAATACTCACAGTAAAAGAAGGAACATGCAATCTGAAGATAGGACAATTTTCTGTGTATTACTCATTCATGAAAACAGAAAATACATACATACACGTCCTACACCCTAGAAGATAAACCCTACTCTATTTATAATAATAAACATGCTATGAAAAAGGAGAACTATCAGCTAAAACCACAAACATAGGACTACTAAGTCCACCTTTATTGAAGCTCCACCAAACCAGGTCTTTCATTAGACCAAGTCCTGATTATTCAACTTGTGGATAAGGAAACTGGAGCGACCCATTCGAATCCGTACCCATGAACAACTTAACCCATCAAGATTACCCAACAGAAGGTTATTTACAGCTTTTTCACAACTTTCAAGAACTTGGCTCCTTAAGAAAGTTGGAACTCAGCTGGTGCGACTTGGGAGATGAACACATCGATATCGGCTCTGGTGTTTGGGAGTTGCCCAACTTGCAAGAACTCAATCTAAAAGGAAATAAGTTTTCACGGTTAAATTTCCATCGCTTGCGACTTCCTCGACTCAAATGGCTCAACGTGTCCTACTGCTCTAAACTTGTAGAATTGTCAGAGATTCCATCAAGTATAGCTGTTGTTATTGCGGATGATTGTAGCTCACTTGTAACCTTTGGAGATATTTCAAACTGCAAATGGTTGTGGAAACTCTCGCTTCGTGAGAGTTATGTCGTAAATCCACGTGATGGTGAGACATTATTAGACTCCATGCTCCAGGTTTGACTCTACGTACCTTTTTTAAATTTAAATATATAATATATAAACCCAAACATAAGAATCATAACCGAGTCTGAATGTGTTTTCCATGACCAGGGGAATGCTATCAAAGATCACTTTATCAGTGCCGCTCTTCAACATCAGATTTCAAAGAAGCTTGCATGTAGCTTCTTTAGGCAAAACACATTTAGAAATCGTTTTCTACCACATCCACATGATGTACATGTTTACATTGCGTCTTCCAGATGATTGGTACAATGACTTTTGTGGATTCTTGATACGGATTGTTACCAACAACAAACTTCCGGATATTAATGTAATCTTGACGCATGAGGTGGATGAAAAAGATTCTCGATTTGAGATTTGGCAGCCACATGAGTCTTATGAAGCACCGGAGCGTGAATATGATTTCAAAGTACAGACGTATGTGGGATATGTTACGTTTAGTTCATTGAGGCAGACCACATCGTTGAATTCATCATACAATATTATTTCATTTTCCATTGAGAACACGCTTACCTGGAGATCATTTGGAGTACTTGGGCTCGTTCCTAGGGACAGAACAGATGATCCGGTGCAAACAACAAATGTTGCAACAGATTCCTCAGAATATTGGAATGATGAACTGGATATCCGAAAGGCATTTACGATCCAACATGATTTATACTCTTTTATCCAGATTTTATGGCAACCATAGGACAACAACATCTACCAAATTAATCCATACTCATATATCTATGACTATTCACAATTCCTAGTTCATGCACTCAATGTTTTCTTAATTTTGAGCAAATACAATCAAATGATCTTGTTCCTGGGAACATCTTAGCAAATCTCCCAGCCTGTTTAAAGGTTTATTATAAATTTATGGTTTTCTTTTGTTGTGACCGATTGAAATTCTATTTAAAATGTGGTTTTGCTCTCATACAAAAAACAAATTTAGTGTTTAACCAAAACCCTAACTCAATTTCTCAATTTGGAGATATATTTAAACTTAATCATGTTAGGGATATAATCTGTACCTAACATTTTTTCGCCAAACCTACCTCATTAACTGTACACCACCACACCTACAAAGATTTACGAACATGTACTTCTACTGCTTCCATTTTTGTTTTCCATGCATAATCCTTTGTACATTACAATAAAACCAACATTCCTCATTCCATTTATTATAGTGGTTAGCAAAAACGGAACCAAAACCGAAAAAATCATATAAACCGAAACCGAAACCGAAACAAAAACTGATGATGCGGTTTATAGTTTTGTAAAAACCGAAAGTTTTCGGTACAGTGCAGTTTTGATATGTACAACGACCGAAAAAACTGAACCGTGGCGCAAAATTATATTATATATTAAATAAAATATATAATTATATTTTTTATATAATAATAGTGTAACGTGAACACCACATGGCATGATGTCATGTTATATTTAACTAACACAAAAACAATTCAATTGGTAAACGACTAACACGACAAAAATAACATAAAATAATCATTAGTTTACTTCATTCATTGGAGTGTTTGGAGTTGTAGCCCTTTTGATATTATGGAATTGCTGTTTTTTCCTTTTTGCCCTGCCTTTCCGCTTTTTAGGCAGGTGCTAATAATATTTCTGCCGGTTCAAAAAAAATATTTGTTTCATTCATATTTATTCATACAAAATACGACAAACATATGTTAAAAGCGTGTCAATTTCGTATTGAATTTTGAACATTAACATGATGCAACACGTTGTCGTATTTTTTTGCATTAGACATGAACACGAATTTAAATTTCAGTTTCATCCTAATTTCGTTTTGTGTCGTGTCGTGTCATCAAATGACACCCTTAGTTTTGAGTGGTGTGATAAAAGCAATACATCCACATATATTCATACTAAAGGGGCAAAAAAATAATTTTAGCCTAAAAATCGTCACCAATGGCTACAAAATAATAATAAAAAAAAACAATAATAATAATAACATTTCGGCTAGCTAGTATTTGGACTGGATTTTTAAACCGGTTTTGGAATGGATATTTTAACGGATTTTTCTTAAACCAGTTCAACGACAATAATTTCAAATTGTGGATCATATAAACTAAAATTCGGACTCAATGTTGTTCTTTCCGTATCCGGTTCCATGAACATATACAAGATATTTCATTTGAACCAGTTTTTTTACATGATCACATCTATTATAGGGTATAGATTAACAAGGACCCAACACAATATTCCAGTCGTGTCAATTCATTACAAAAGAAGTCCCGTCTCAATCCCTACATTATTTGTGTAAAAAGTTCCTATTGTAAAACAACATTCTGATGTTCAATATACCTAACAATAAACTTTCATAAATAAAAATAAATAAGAGTTTGGTTTTAAGAAAAAAAAACTCTAATAAAAGAAAAAATTTAAAACTTTCATAAACGAATTTATCTTAGCTTTTATACAAATATCATTTTATGTAATTTATGACGGTTCAAAAGCTTCTATCTAATTTTGCCGAACAATTGTATAAAAATAAAAACTACAGGTTTAATATTCTTCTAACTACCAGCTACCAGCGAGTTTTGTCAAATACGCTCATGATAAAACTATAACATAAGATAATTAAGTAAAATTAGTACCGATCTATATTATATAATTCACTACTAGAATATTTGGATTTAGCTACAAAAAATTTCCGACGATTTTGTTTTGTTGGAAATTTCCGTCTAATTTTCTACAAACTTACAACAAAAGTAGAATCTAACAAAATTCCAACAAATTCCCTACGGAATTAGATATCCTACAGATTCTGTTGGAAGCGTGTTGGAAGTTTCCTACATAACACCAACGAACAATTAATTAATATTTAAAATTAAAAATCTGTTGGAACTTGGTAGGAAATATAATAGCGGGAATGAAAGTTTTTTTAACATCTTTTCTTTTTGATTTTCCCTCCTTGTTTTGCCTTCCCTTTTTTTTTAATATTATCATTTTAATAAATATAATAAAAAAAATTCATATTATTATTAATATAAATATAATTATTATTATTTATATTATTATTAATGTAAATATAACAAATAATATTATTATTTTTTATTGTTATTGTTATTCTTTTCTTATCAGATTTATTTTAATTAATATTTTTAATATATAACTATATGGTTTTATTAATATTAAACTTACTATAATTATATTATTATTATTATTAATATTAGGTTTACCATATGTATAACTAATTAACTAGACATACGACATATGTACACATACTAATAATAGAAAATTTAAACAATAATAAAACTATTTTATATATATATATATATATATATATATATATATATATATATATATATATATATTAATTTCAATCCCCTTTAGGGGACAGTACCACTTGAATGCTATTGGTGAATTTATTTTTTTTCTTTTTTATGGGATTACTTTTATTTTTTATTTTTTTTCCTTTTGCCTTATAAATGTTTCCACGTGCTTTGATGACCAGAGCTACGTGTTGCTCTCTTCTTTTATCTTTTCCCTATCTCCTTTCAACCTGGTGTCATCATCACAACCAACGTCTACGTGTTCGGCCCCAGATCCTTATTGGGTGTAACCCCCACCGCCCACCGCCTGCCTACATTTTTTTCGTCCCTTACATCACCCTCTGCTTTCGTTCTGATTTTTGCATCGGTTGGCTGGGTTGAAGCCGACCTTAACCGCTCCACAAAACCCTAACCCGACGCCATCGCCTCTCATCTTCTCCACCGTTCCTGCAAACCACCATTATTCCCTCTCATAGGATGAGGATTAGAGTGAAGGCGACCCTGGAAAGCACCCTGAAGTTTCTTTAAGTTACATTTCTCACAACAATCCCTGCATCTGCTTGGTTGCTTATGTAATTTGTTTGTAAATTCATGTAACAAATTTTGTTATCATATACTTCTCCAATCAAATTTGTAGTTGAGTTTACAATAGTTATCACCTCAATTCCAAAGCTTTTTAAAACCCTAAAATGCAATACGGTTATGAAACGGCTTAGTTGCATCGATCTGATATTTTGATTTCTGAAATTTTTTCTAATCTAGGCTTACAGGAAAGAAGGTTATATTCATCATGGGCACACATGAGCATGGAGAGAAAATAGCTATTGTCATTGTTGCAGGTGGCTCAACCCCAAACGACCACTGTGAATGATTGGATGTAGGGCTTGTGGGGATGAACTTTTGGTGGTGGGTGGACAACAGGAGGCTAGGGAACTCAATGACCGATATTTCAAGGAACCTAGAGAGGTGGTTGATGATAAAAGTGTTTTAGCTGCAAGGAAGTCAAAGTTTAGCATGGATAAAGATCCAAAGTTCAGCAAGGATGGTAATTCAAGTTACTAATTTTGACTTTGGCTTTTTTTACCCAATTCTAAAGTCAGCTATGCGTTTTAATTTAGGTTTAAAGCATGTTACTATGGCCAATGAAGTCCAGTCTTCAAGTTCAAAACAGGGTCAAGAGTTTGTTGGCAAAGCGATTGGAGAGCAAGAGTTTGTGAAGGATTCTGATATAGATGCTGCAAAAATAGCTACAATAAAGTCTGCAGAGTTAGGTATATATATTTTAATTTAAATTATAATATAATCTTATGGTTCTAAATTGAGCCCACTGCATTCTATTTCAGCAGCTAGAGGCGAGTTTCCTCACTGTGTTGATGGGTCGAAGGCACCGATGCCGAGCCATGGTTTATTATGGTTAGAATGCTAGTTGTCTGCGTCACTCTACATGTATGATATATGATACCGGGCGGGGCCCAATTCCAGGAGGGGCCTGATGATTATTGTTGCATCCCCGAACCGAGTAAAACAGCGGAAACGTCCGACGGTGGATGACGTCATGTACAGTATCATAACAATTGAATAATAGAGATCAAAGCATTCCAAACATTATATTGATAATTAACCACTTGGGTTGTGGTGACTTGGTAAGGCATGTGGAAGATATGGTGGACAACCTATTGACCCATGTTCAAATCCTGGCACCACTAAGCCCTTGTGGCCATCGAGGTTCGCCTGCAGTGACTCCAGGGCATGAGGCAAAGCCTCATGTTTGCAGCGGAGGATTAGTCGGTGCGCGAAAGCTGGCCCGGAAACCCTCGTTAGGGAAGTTCCCTTTCCAAAAAAAAACATTATATTGATAATTTATAAGTTTTTACATTGTATTCGAATCATTGTTTGACTCCAAAAGCATACGACAAAATCTAAGACGTAACAATGCTAAGCTCCGTCTTCTCAAAACCCGTGTGGGTATACTCGGCGGGGCCCGACGCCGGGCGGTCCCCATTATGTGATTGATATGTATGGTATGTGGTATTTTGGGGATCACTAAGCTTCGTGCTTACGATTTTCAGTTTATGTTTTAGGTACTTCTGGTGCAAAGGGGAAGAGCTCAGGGTGATTGCAGTGCACACACTATATTGTTCCGTATTTTCACGATTACTTTGATGTTTTATGTGACAACCGTCACTTTCTGGTCAAGTCAAAGTCAAAGAAAGTCAACAAGTCAAACCGGCCAACTCAATTAACCCTTGTATATTAGGGTTTACATTATGTTTACTATTGTACAACACACCATCCTAATGCAAAGTATCACTTAGAGTTTTCACGTGTTCAGAAAATCTAAACCATAATCAGGGTAGGTGTGACAACCGGCAAGCTTCTGGTCAAGTCAAAGTCAAGTTAAGGTCAA